TTTGTTGATCCTTTGTTCCTTTTGGGTTGAACCTGTTCCTTCTTCCTGTTTCTTCGTTCAGCCCTTTCCTTCTTCCATTCAATTTCCCACTGAGAACAATTCTTGATCATGTGGTCAGTCTTACCACATTTGTAGCAGCCCTCGTTGGTTTGTTTTTCAGGTGCCCTTGGTTTGTTGAAGGTTGCACCTCTTGAAGAACCCTTTCCTCTCATTAGGTATTTCTTGAAATCCCTTGTGATCATAGCCATTTCATCATCCTCTAAGTCTGCACCTTCAGCTATTCTGAGAGCCAGACTTCTTTCCTTCTTGGGTGCATCCATCTTCATGGTTTGCCTTCTCAATTCATAGGCAGTGAGATTTCCAATCAGCTCATCCAATTTGAGAGTAGCAATGTTCCTTGATTCCTGAATAGCCATGATTTTGCTTTCCCAAGTTACTGGCAAGACCTTTGTCAAGATTTTCTCAACCTTGTCTTCTTCAAGGATAATTATTCCAAGAGACATAAGTTCATTTGTTAGTGTTGTGAACCTTGTGTACATCTCTTGGATGGTTTCTCCTTCCTTCATGGTGAAATTCTCATATTGAGAATATAGCAATGTTCCTCTTGATCTCTTTACTTGAGGAGTTCCTTCATGGGCCACTTGTAGAGTGTCCCAGATCTCCTTAGCAGTGGTACAACTTTGAATCCTGCTGTACTCGTCGGGACCTAGTCCACACACAAGCCATTTCTTGGCCTTGGCATTCTTTTCCCATTTCTTCAAATCTTCAGCAGTACAGTCAGCTCTCGTCTTTGGCACGTCCACTCCTTTAGGATTTTTCTTTGTAGTAGCCAGGGGACCATCAGTAACTATATCCCAGAGTTCATAGTCTTCTCCTATGATGTGGTCTCTCATCCTGTTCTTCCACCAGGAATAGTACTGGCCATTAAAGAGTGGAGGCCTAGCAGTGGATTGCCATTCCCAGTTTCCAGGTGGTGCATTCATCTTGATCTGTTCCTAAGGTGTTTAGCCGTCTTCAAGGATAACCCGCTCTGGTACCAATTGATGTTTTATACTTCAATACCACACAAAAGGGGGGGTGATTTGTGTGGTACCTAATTTTCGCTTAACTTGATTATAAAAGGACCTGGTTCTTCTATGTGTTTCCAACTACTACTGTTGCGGAATAATAAATACAAAAAAATTAAAGAACACAGAGATTTTATGTGGAAAACACCTGGCTCAAAAGGTGAAAAAACCACGACCTACCTTCCAGTAGGATTTTTCCCAACTCTCCACTAAAATCACCGAGCCAAAAATTACATTTACAAAACTCCTCTGTAAACCTAGGATTAACTCTATTCCCGTTGTGGCACGCATCCTCAACTGTTGCAACAACTTCAAGTTAACTCTAACTTGAAAAACTCTAAGTACCTAATAAGCTGAAAGGTACTATGTAAAATCACCTACTACAATTGAACTAGAATAAAAGATAGAAACTTGGAAATGGTTCTTCTATCTGGTTCAAGTAGCTTCAGGATTGCACGCTTGAATCACACATAAATTGCTTGCAAAATCGCCTTGCTCTTTTGCTTTCAATTCACGTTTAACTTTTGCTTATGTGCATTACCTGTAATGAGAACAAACACTGATAATTTTAAGGAGTTAGTAATTAAAGAAGATTTACTAGGGGATACAGATGTTATCTTCCATGATGGAAGAGTTCTAGTTGATCTTCATACTCTAACTCTATCATTTCCTAACCCGTGCTCTCTTTTGTGTAAGGAATCTTTTCTCCTTATCCATATTTGCAACCTTTTCAATTCAGAGATCAGGAATATTACTTCTGATAAGTTAGGTTTTTAGCTCTTTCACGTGCATCTCACATGTTTGGGTTTGTCATCAACTTGCTGCTTCACAAGATGGACCCGGTCCCCATTGTCTTGAGTTCCTTTGTTCCAGTCTTCTAATAAAACTTCACCTCTTTACTTGGGCTAACAATATGCAAATAATTTTTTAAGAACCCATTACTTAAAAGAACTAGAATCCTGAACCCATAAGCTTTAAATCCTAACCTCTGCCTCTGTACCAAGCACATTGTATATCAATAACAAGCAAGGTAGGAAGCATGAATAACATCAAGGAGAGTGATTAAGCGAATATTCCAAACGAACATAAATCACAACTTTCAAGCCAATAACAATTCAACAAACCTCAAGAATCTCAACCAATCTCAAAAACATGATCTTCAACTCAAGTATAGATTTCAATTTCTCAAGAATAATGGGCGTAGCGATGTATTTGTGATTAAGTATAATGACGACCAAATTTAGCACATCAATAATTTTACAAAAAGTTCGTCAAATCTTAATCAAATTATAATGATTTAAATCAAGATTTCGAGCATTTAACTTCATATTCATATTAATCTAGAAGTCAAGTAAAGCGCGAAACAAGAAGGTAACTTAATCCTACAAGGCACAAATAATCGTATAATCTACCCCCAAGCATGATTAACCCTGACAGAAGCATATCCACTCGTCACCTCATATATGCATCACCTCGTATCTAGCAAACACTATCAATTAATAGGAAAAATTTCTCCAACAAAGTTAGGAAAGATAACTTACCTCGAACAAGCCAAATCAGTACGTTAGAAGCACCATCTCGCACAAATCGACCTCCAAACGGCTCAAAACTAGCCAAAAATAACTCAAAATCATCAAATAATACTATAGGAAGCAAACCCAAACGATAAAGGTCGAATCTTTTAATCAAATACTCAAAGTCAACAAAAAAGTTAACCTGAGCCCGCACCTCGGAACCCGACAAAACTCATAAATTCTGATAATTCATTAAATTACAAGTACAACCATACTAATTTTACTCAAATCCGACTCCTAATCAATGTTCAAAAACTCAATTATTCACTTTAGAAAAGTTTAGACAAAACCCCCAATTTCTCTTTTAGATTCATAAAATTAAATACCAAAATTGAAGATAGAATCATGTAATATAATCGAATCCGAGTAAAAGAAAATACTTAGTCCAATCTAAATTGGCAAAATTCCTTCCAAAATCGCCCAATTTGAGCTCCAAAACCATGTGAGAAAAAGTGACTAAATTCCGGAACAAGTAAAATAATGTAGCAGCTGTTATAGCTGGAATTAGATCCTATATGACCCCGAAATTCATATTTGATAAGCCCAATATAATTCTTACGATATTACACCCAAGATAGCCTTTTGAATAATTCAATTTGACTTTAAAATGAGGGAGATATGATATTTTAAAGTTTTAAAAGAAGTTTAAAAATTTAAGGGATAAAAATGGCATTTTCGTAATTATTTTACACCAGAAAATCAGCTGCAGAAGAATCTTCGTTTTAGCACGGAAAACTCATTCGGAACCTCCTGGACACAAACCATATATGCAGTTCAATCATAAAGTATGCTACGAACCTATTCACCCACTCAAAACACCAAAAAGAGGTCATCTTGACCCGATTGACCATGGTCAAACTCCAAATCCTTAACTAGTTTCTCAACCAATGATGCAAAATACACCCGAGCCATTCGGAACCCCATCCAATCATACCAACAAGTACAAATACATTATCCAAACTTATACAAAGCCTCAAACATAGGAACATCACAACAAAGAATTGAGTCTCGAACGAAATATAATTTCTCTTAAGTTATTAAATCTTCATTCTTTCAAAAGAGTGTCCGAATTGCAGTTAAACACTTCGAATTACTTTCAATACGTACAAGTCCAATTCAACTATATAGACTTATCCAAAGTCTCGAAACACCAATTGGAGTCCAATAACATTAAAGTTGACTCTTGGTCAAACTTATAAACTCTTAAGTTCTTCAAATTACCAACGTTGGACAAATAGTGTCGAATCCTTCTAGGAACCTCCAAAACCGAATCCTACGCACAAGTTCAAAATTATCATATGAACCTATCGGAATCATATAAACGCAATCCCGAGTCCGTTTATCCAAAAGTCAAATATTGGTCAACTCTTTCAATTTAAAGCTTCCAAATCGAGAGTTATTCTTCCAAATCAATCCCGAATCACTCGAAAATTAAAACGACCATACACGCAAGTCATTATGCGTCATTTGAAGATACTCAAAGTCTCAAATCACTAAACGTAATACTAAAGCTCAAAATAATCGATCGGGTCGTTACAACCAATCACAACAAAAAGCTACTTTTGAAGATTCAAGCTAATCAATTGAAGAACTAGTTCCTAAAGATAAAGCTACTCAAGTTCTTTAGTTGTTAGGTTAAGTCAAGTGTTTTGAATTGTAACCTATTTGCTTTTTTAGAAGTGTAATAGTGCGTTTTTGCTGAAACTTTACTTTTGTAAGCTTCCTAGACTAAAGTTTAGTTTGGGAAGAGGTTGCTACATTAATAGGTAAAAACCATGCATCCAAACAAGATGTTACACGCACATAAAACGTACCCCATTAACCTTTCAGAAGTAGGGAGGCGGGCGAGGATGAGAGAACATTGTCGCTGTCGAGTCAAAACTGGTATGGTGGTGGTTGCCGGGGGAGGGGGGGGGGGGGGGGGGGACAGGAGATCTTAGCTGTCGAGTCAAAACATAACACAGGCGACACTAGTGGAATCTACTTCACTCTACGTAAATGTCAATAGGAAAACCCACTGAAATTAGCAAAAGAACAAAAGCAAAGAGAGAGAGAAAAGTGGTCAGCGGAGAAAAAAAATTTCTTTTCAAATACACAAGTCAACCTTTGAATTAGTCATTTCAACCGCTGCTCATACCAAATAATGATTTAAATGTTATAGTAATACATTACTTATTTATTAACAGAAACATGTGGGTCAATTATGCTAACCTCACTATTAGAAAAGCGGGTAATTATGAGATCTTTATGCAGACAAGGTCAATTATATGTATAATACCATCTTTTGGCTTTTAATCCATAAATTACATTTGGTTTTTCGTAACAAGGTCCAATAATTCAGATTGAAAATAGAAGATTATAACCATATTAGAAAAACTAATAATGTCGTTAGAGTCCCACATTGTTGGGTGTGAAGCATTTTATCTCGTTATATGTTTTTTGACAATTCGAGCTAATTTCTATCGCAATTGATCAGTACACATATGACATAAGTTGTAAATTGTAGGAGAAAGAGTATATTTTTGTGAAGAATTTACTTATATTTTGTGACAAGAGAAGATTGTTCAAGAGGTAAACACCCTCTTCTATCTCCATTCTGAGCTAGGTTATAGGTTTGACTGTTTGAGTCACGAAGGAATTAAAGTGGGGTAAAAACTTTTTTAAAAAAACTCGTTTTTAAAGGTTGTACACTTGTACGGCAGTTCGAGTTGATCTTGTATTTTGTCATCACCCGCTTGATGACAACAAATTTAGAGCTCTGTAATTGCAATCCAAGTTGGAGTTGATCTTTTCTTCGTGGCCTTCTAAGAAATAATATAGTCAATTTTATGATAAGAGCATGAGCAATTTTGAGCACCAATATCATCTGCAATACATTGGGGCGCAACTCTTCCATCTTGGTACCACAATTTTCTTTGTTGCACTAGATCATTGACGAAATTTTCCAGCGTTTCCCTGGTGATACCTGGCATTACAATAACATGTGCCATATCTTTCATGCATGAAAGTTGCCAACGACGGACAAATTCATGGTCACGAGGCCTCTCAATTACAACTATGATGCTAAGCTCGTTTAGCATGACACTTATCCCTTCTTGCTGAAGACGATCTTTCAAATATTTGGCATTGTCGAGGCATCTTTTAACATCTTTTTGTAGCCCAATTTGACCTTTAGCGCTCAGACTATACCATAGAAAAATTGGAGTTAAACCGTTACGACTTCCAGAAATAGTGGCATCCACAGAAGCGATGTACTCCACATTTCTTGAGAGGTTATTGATGTAGGATTTTCTTGTTATTTGGACACCACAAGGCATTGGACATCCCAAAAACTTGTGACCAGAAATCGTGAAGCTTCCAATTGGCTTCTTGAAGCTTATCATCTGTTGTCAAATTGCATAAAGAATAATCAGAATGTCGCTCTGCATATTAATTACTTGAGAATTTTTCAAAATTAAGTAAGAAGCAAAACTCACATTGTTTATAAAGGGGACAATAAACCCACTTAGTGCTGCATCACAATGGATGTAAAACATATCTTGTGAATAGCCACAATCTTTGAGTGTTAGAAAAATAATATCAAGGTCATCAACAGCTCCTTTGAAGGTAGTTCCTACAATTAATTAGGAAAATATTGTAAGAAGACTAATGAAGGAAAGAAAAAAGAACGGATAGAGGTTGGAAAACATATTTACCAATTGTAACATTTATAATAGCTGGTTTGTCCTTATTTTGAAGCAACTTTTCTCTTAGGTCTGAATAATCCATCTCCCCATTTACTAATGTGTTGATCGTTTCCGAATCCATTCTATACATTCTTGCAGCTTTGAATACCGAGTAGTGAGAGTCTTTTGACGCG